CTGTTGATATAAACTTATTTCTTTTGGCTGGAGAGATAATACACTTACTTTGCATATAGATGACCTGGTTTCTATCCTTGCCACTCCTTCGAGCCCACTGGGAGTAAATTCTGGGCATAAAACCAGGAGAAAGCCCTGAGCACTGCTGATGTGACCCCAAAGCAAAATAAGTATTTCCATGCCTAATCCTCTTTTGATAGAAATTTGGATTATTTCCATTTTTAAAAAGTTGTTAGTACTACATCTTTAGAATTCATATCTAGACTTTTAACCAAGCATTCTGAGAGATAGACCTCCAGATGTAGAATTGGTTGGTCAGATGATGTATGCATTTAACAATATTCTTAAATGTTTGCACCACTTGAAACCCCTATACTATCTTTGTGGGATCAAGGTTGGTCATTTTTTTTTGCAATTTGTATACATTTTATTTTAATAAAATAGTTCACAATAGCTCTTTGCAGATAATATTCAAACTCCCAGCCAACCAGCAAGCATCTTCTGACCACAATAAGAGGGAAGTGTGTGAAGGTTGTTGATTTCATTCTGGGGTCCTTTAAACCCATATATGAGAGAATACAAGCAAGTATGTTAAAACCAAACAGGTATGTACTTCTTTAGTGGACTAGAGTATAAGAAGTCACACGATCCAGGAAATACTGATTCCCTCTCTTCCAGGAGCTTTGTTCTATTGTCTCTTGATCTTGGCTATTGATGAGATTACATGGTCCTGGAGACAGTTTGTGGGTGTGACTGCCAAGCTACTGGGAAACTGGGTATCTGGGTGGAGGAGGCCCAGTCCTGATCCGACTAGACTCAGCCACGTGTCCCAAATACCTGGGTTCCTCTGTCAGTTCCCTAATGGGTGAGGCTTGTCCGAGCATGTGGAGAGTGGCTTTGAATATGGATGTGGCTGTGTTCTAGAGGTTTTCTGCTGCCGGGACTCTGCTTGTGGTGGAGAGGGAAACTCAACCCATCCTCCTCTGAGGGTGCCTGGTGAAGACAGTCTGACACAGGGGCAGAACCTTCTGTCCATATTAATATTTCTCACAGACTGTTGCTTTAGTCATGGTCCGGATGCCTTTGTCTATTAAAAGAAAATGGGTAAAACTTATGCAAGTCTTAAAGATTAAGTGAAGCAGTCTTCAAGTTGGTTTAATGCAACCACACATTATTGATCAAAATATCCTAGTATTACATTCAAACTTCGTAAGAAAAATTTGTATATAATATAAAATTTTCAAGACTAAGAATTTATAACTGCAATCTTTGATTCTCTCTCTCCCTCTCCCCTCTCTCCCCTAGCACTCTCTCTCTCTCTCTCTCTCTCTCTCTCTGTCTCTCTCTCCCCCATAGCCAGGTGTGGCCCAAAAAGCAAAAATAAATTAAAAAAAGTAACTAGAAATTATTTAGTAATTTTTTGACTGCCAATTTGGCGAACCCCCTATATTAACTATGCCAGAAAATTCATTCTGTTAAATAGTTTATTGAATTCTTGCTTTTATATGTCATTGTTATGTCAAAGTTTGTAACCAGGATCTGATAAGACAATTTACTAGTAAAGTATTTAATTCCACTTAATTATTTTCTTTACTAGTGGAATTTCTAAAAGTATAATTGAAAAAAACATATAGAATAGTTAAAATGCCACAATTTTGGGTGGTGGGGTGTGCACATATGGCAGTTCTCAGGGCTTACTCCTGGCTCTGTGTTAAGGGATCATACCTGGTGGTGCTCAGAGTATCATACGCAGTACCAAGGATCAAAGCCTGTTTGGCTGTGTGTAAGACAAGTACCTAATTGTCACTCTAGTCAAAGCATCATACTTTTAACTACAGAACAGAGATGTAGTTAAAACACCAAGAATCATTGTTGTTCTACTGATAATAGAATTTGTCCCATCCTTAAGACAGGATTACTTAATATATTCCCACTCTTTTCACCTCAATTGAAGACATGCACGTTCAGGAAAAAACAAACAATATACTAAATAGCATTTTTTCCTCTATTGTTTTGGAGGGGTCATACTTGTCATAGTTCAGGGGCTATTTCTGGTTCTGTTCTGAGGTGGTGTTGCTCCAGGAGGTTCTTTTATTATCACATAGTGCCATGGTGACTGTGATGTTGGGGTAAATTGGTAAATTGAGCTCTGTGGCTGTGACAGATCATACTAGGTCTCTTACATGCGATGTACACACCCCAGCTACATACTCCTCCCACGAACCCAAGATTAAGTATCATAATGAAATAAATATGTACATAATCATAATAATTTCTACTATATAAATATGGTAGTAAACACATGATCAAAATAAAATAATTCAAAAGTATAAAAAGTATAAAAAGCATTCGTGGCAGCGTGCTTCTGGGAGTTGGGTTTTATAGTATCTGGATCTAGGCCATTGATGGGATTACACGGCGCTGGGGGGCAGTTGGTGGGTGTGATCCCTCCCTACTGGAAGATGGAGGATCTGGGTGGAGGATTCTCACCCCGTCCCGATCCAAGCAGGCTTGGAGATCTCAGCCCCGGGACCCTCATGCCTTTGTTCCTCTGCTGGTACCTTCATGCGTGTTGAGAGTGGTCTCAGCATGGTTGTGGCTGCTTCTGGAGGTCTTCGGCTGCCGGGGCTCTGCTCTGGGTGGGGAGAGAAACTCAACCCGCCGCCTCCAAGGGGCCCCAGTGAGGACAGCCAGGCGTGGAGGCAGGAGACATCTTATTATCTCATTCTTACTATGGACAACATGACAGGCTACAGAAAGTATCCTGCCTGCATGGCAGAGTCTGGCAAACTCCCCATGTTGTACTCAATATGCCAAATACCAGTAACAATGGGGGTCTCATTCTCCTAACCCTAAAAGAGCCTTGAATATAGCACTTTTTAAAATCTCAGGTCTAGGACAATGGAGACGTTACTGGTGCCTGCTCGAAGTAATCGACAAACAACAGGACGTTCATGAAAGTATATAGCAGCAATATAGCTATATACTGGGTTGGAGAGTATTACAGCATGATAGATTCACCTGTAAGTTTTTCATAAATTCAAGAATCATAGTCTCTACAATATGGTAAATTAACTATAGAGTCACAAAGATATACACATTAATTATTTTGGAAAAAACTATATGAATTGAAGGAGAAGATGTGTCCTCTATTTTGATTCTAACCATCACGACAAATTATCAGGAATCTATAGGGCCTGTGTCTCCCAATACAGGAAGTTTATAAAACAAGTAACATAATTATGAGTTAAGTTTCCAGATATGTCTGTTCCATAGATCTTCTCTCTGCTAGCTCTAAAATTTCTTATTTGTAAAAATGATATTTCTTAGTATCATTTGAATTGTACGGCAAAAATAATTAACCATATAATGAAATATATGGACATTTAAAAATCATTTTATGTTTATAAAGCCGTTCAAAATAATTGATTACATTCAATATTCCAACAGCAATACCACCACCATTATACCTCCCACAACTGTATTTAAAACTATTTTTATACAATTTACAATTGATCCCCCAAGCCTGTCACCAAAGCAGAACATAATAACTTATTTTGTATTGCTTGTTATGAATACTCCTCTATAAAGCATGCAAAAAAGTTTTGTTAGAGCAAAGTGTAAGGAGATTGTTGTATTAAACTGGAACCACTAAGCCATTGCTTTTTTACTACGTGAAAATTTGCTGACACCTGCTGTAAGAGGTTCAGAAATTTATAATATGGTAGATGCTTCAATAAAAATATTTGAAAGATATTGATATATGAACTGAACATTTGAATATTTGTTCAATTTCAAGAACTTAATCATGCCCCATAGATGAATTTTCTCTTTATGTTTCTGCTTTTTCAGCCATTTGAAAACAAAGGATTAATGAATTAACTTCTAAGATTAGATTCTTCTTCTTCATTAATTAGTGCATTTTCAAGATAATTAAAAGATCAGCGAGGACCTTGCTTCATCTAATAGTCTCTTTGTAATCATGAAAAACACTACTTCAATAATATTCTCTAGAGTGAACATCCCCAAGGCCTTGTTTTTACATATATATAGAACAGTGTGGTGTTAGAGTTACCTTTCAGATTTTCTTCTTCTGTGAAAATCTCTGTGGTTATATTTAAAACAGTGAAAGATAAGTTCATTTTTATTTAATATATATTTAACATATAATTTCATAATAATGTTTTTAAAGTTTGTAATTGTCTCAAAAGGTGCTAAATGATCAACAGGAATTGCCGATGTCGATAATTTTAGCAAAAATATTTCATAAATGACTAAGTCAAATTATTCTGTAGTTAGGTAAGTAAAATCAGTTTTTATTATATTCAATCAAGAAGGAAATCATGTTCCCCCTCATATTCAACAATCTTTGCAAAAAGCAAATTATATTTATTATCTAACTCCCTAATTCCTAATTGATTTAGTTTGTTAGAAATATTTGATTCCTGATCTTACAATATATACATATGTAGCTCCTAAATTTTCGTCTACAATTTGCAATTTGTAGAATTAAAAGGAGAAGGTATATTAGAATCTAGTGAGTATTTAATGATTAAAATACCTGTTCAATACATAAATATGTGAATGTGACTTTCATCACAAAATAAATAATATCTTTTAATTTGTCTGGATTATTCATGAAATCATTGGGTTCTGAATATAACTGTTTTCTGGTTTTTCTTGATCAGTTTTGCTAAACTGTCTACAAACAAAAATTATGTCATACTATTTGCAATTATGCACAGTATTTCTAGAAAATTTTTAGAGGAAAACATCACTGGTCATAAAAATGTATTTTATAAGTAATGACTTCTCAAATAAGTTATGTTTCTAGGCATACTTGGTGACTATGAAAGGAAAATAATGTGGCAGTTGTCACTGGAAATTTGAGAGAGGTGTTCATAGAAATTTATAATCTCATACACGTGAGCACATTTATTAAGACTTGGAACTGAATAGAAAACAATGAACAGTGACCAGATCTTCTGTTCTTATACCAGAGTTATATCAGTTTGCTAGTGGCAGAGTGAAAGAACAGATACTGTGGGAACAATGTGAAGGACAGAGTGACTTGAACAGACTTCGGCAATCGTATTTGTCCTTATGCCAATAATTTCTCTCTCAGTACATTACTGAGCAGAATTTGCCACAATAAAATATATTATTTGAAAAGTATATAAGGTCTGTGAGTATCAATAAGAAATTTATTTTTACATAAAATTTTTGTAAAATTTGGGTAGAATTTTGGAGAAAATTGAAAAATTTACTAAAATGATACAGTTTTGTGATAGAAGAAAACATAAAACTAATGGCAGGTATATATTCATGTTGCAGTTATGTTTATGAGTCAAATCCATAGTAGTTTTGCATGGTTTGGGAAGAAAACGCATAGCGGAGTGGAAACCACAGAGTGCATAATTACAACCATAGTAGCCTAGACTTTTTAGGGCATTTTATGTGCAATGATTTTCCTCTTTTGCTTAGTGCATTCAAGGTTTCAGAAAGCAATTGGGAAGTAGCTGAGACAATAATTGTACATACTAGTGGAAAAATACACTTGAGACTTTTTGACTGCAACACAGGACATTAACAGTTTATCCTACCCTTTTGCTCTAGAGACCTTATTTGAGGCTAATTTGGGGTTCTTAAGTCCCAAGAGATTTAAGGATTATTATTGTTTTTTTCTGAGCCTGTCAATATCACTGTCACTGTCCTCCCATTGTTCATCGATTTGCTTGAGCGGGCCCAGTAACGTCTCCATTGTGACACTTCTTACTCTGTTTGGCATATCAAATATGTCAGGGGTAGCTTGCCAGTATTTGCCCTGCGGGCAAGATACTCTCAGTAGTTTGCCAGGCTCTCCAAGAGGGGCAGAGGAATTAAACCTGGGTCATCTGGGTCTGCCAAGTCAACGGGTCAGGGTGCAAGACAAATGCCCTACCCTCTGTGCTATCGATCCATCCCTAAGGTGTCTTTATAATATATTTCTGATTTAACAAAATCATCTGGACAATTTATTGTCACTTTAATTCACACGTTTAACTAGAATTCACTCATTCAAATACTCATTCATTGGGGGAATGCATTTAATAACAGTGTATCAGGAAAAGACTTCCCATAATAGCACAGTCCTTTGACTGCAGCAGGAATCTGCAGATCTGCTTTATTCTGACACACTTACATGGAAAGGTTATAGTATTTTACTCATTTACTTTTCAAGTCTATTGGGTTTCTCGCTGGACACATTTAAATTCCCACTTCAGATACCACTTGCAAGACCACTTCAGATATACTTTTGTTGAACTGGCTAGAGAGAAGAGATTATAGCACTGTCTCTTGGTCTATACTGATTTGCTAGAGTGTACTCAAAACTGAAGAAGCACTTTGACTTCTTTAGTATAGTTTTTATTGATGAACATTATGTGGAAATAGTCAGATTGGAGTTATGTATGGGGAAAAGATTCAGAACTTCCAAATAGTCTTTTGGTTTATTTCTGCCTATCCTGGATGATACTCTCCTGATACTCATCATTGTAATCTATGAAGATTTCTTATGTAGAGTGCACTGTCTGCACTATCCTCCTGTTGTTCATCGACTTGTTGTTACTGTATTTGGTATATCAAATACATCACAAGTAGCTTGTCAGGCTATACAGTGTGGGTGAGATACTCTTGGTATCTTGCTGAGCTCTCCGAGAGGGGCAGAGGAATCAAACTCGGGTCAGCCAGGTCAGCCTGTGCAAGGCAAACGTCTTACCAGCTGTGCTATTGCTCCATCCTGTTATGTAGACAGGGAGTATTAATTATTAAACCTGAAGTATGTAGTCAACCTTCATTTCTTTGTCTCTCTAAAGGAGAACAAGTTTCCACTGACAATTCTGATCATCTGATCTCAGTGCTGGTTCTCCTGGTTACTTTCAGTCACTCTCTCGATCACGACCATCCTGTTATTTGTTGATTGCCTTTAGCAGGCCCCAGTAACGTCTCCTTCATCCTAGCCCTGAGATTTTTTAAAAAGTGCCATATCCAAGGCTCTTTCAGAGTTAGGAGAATGAGACCCATCATTGTTACAGGTATTTGGCATATTGGGTATGCCAGGGGGAGTTTTCCAGACTCTGCCATGTGGCAGGTTACATTTGGTAGCCTGCCAGTTTGTCCAAAGTAGGAATGAGATAATAAGATGTTGCGCAGCCGCAAATGCGGCCGCGCGCTTCGGGGAGCTGGGTTTTATAGTCACTCTAGAAAGAAAAAACATTTTTTGTTTGCCCTTATCATTTCGGGAATTCACAGGTTTAATGTTAATCAAAATAAATTTAATGATATTTATATTGTGTAGTGAAAATCATTTTTACATATATATTGAACAGGTATTTATGTCAATGAATATTCACTATATTCTAGAATACTTTTTTTCTTGTGATTTGGACTTTGCAGAAGAAAACAAAAAAATACTATGGTAAATGAGAACACATAAGTGAAATAGGGATTATTGTTATGGATTAAATTGTCATATTGGTGAGAATAAGCTACCGAGAGTATTTGATATGCCAGACACAGTAACAACAAAGTCTCCAATGGAGACGTTACTGGGCCCGCTCGAGCAAATTGACGATCAATGGGAGGGCCTTTACCATTGAAAATGTTATAAATAATAAAGAATAATGAGCATGAGAAACGAGTCAAGTAGAGAGAAGGTGAATGGAGAAATAATAGTTCAGAGTAACATGTTTCTTTGAAATCTACTCTGCAGAGCAAAGCAAAAATCCATTGATATGTTAATTAAGTCACATTGAACATCTAAGGAAAATGTTCTTCACCTGCTCAGTTAGAAGTAGACCAAGTTGAATATTTAATGGTGATCCAGCATTATTCTTAAGCAAATTATACATCAAGCACATAATACTTGTGCTTATTAATAACACGCAGCTCTCTAAACAGTATTGCAATGTACTAATAAATGGAAACGTTTGTAAATTTAATATTAATTTAAAAGTTGTTATACACAGGAATTCTTCTCCTAAGTAAAAAATATTAAGACATAAGTGAAAATAAACAATGGCTGTTTTGGTAAAGAAAATTGGGATATAGACATATGAACTCTAAATAACAAGTTTAGATAAATCATGACTTTGTGCCTCTATTTAATTTCCAATTTTAAGAAGTCATAGTTAAACATAATAGGCTGTAGAAAAATTTTCAAAAGTGTGTACATTACCTTCAAGTCCAGATTTTTAATGGCACATAGAAGCAAAATTTTAGATTGTTTACTACTAGTAAACCAGATGTCTCTGCAAATATGGTGGATCTGTTTAAATGCATGTTGATACATACTACCTTTGTTCATTTTACAAATAACTTTTCAATTGCTCTTTTTATAAAAATTTTCCTGATGATTTTCAATTGTGATGGTAGTAGATTGTAGTTTTTGAGGGAAGATATTCACTGAATACAGAGATCTTGTATATCACTACTCACAGATCTTTCCATATCTGGAAGTTGTTGTTTGTCAGTTTCCTGAATAAAGTTGACTCTGTTCTTTACAGTATTGCAGAAAACCAGAGTGCTGAAGCCACATTCATTCTCCTGGGATTTTCAGAATATCCTGCTCTCCAGATACCTCTGTTCCTGTTATTCTTAATAATTTATGTTGTCGCTGTTGTAGGAAACCTGGGTATGATCTTGGTGATCAAGATCAATCCCAAACTCCATATCCCAATGTACTATTTCCTCAGCCACTTATCTTTTGTTGATTTCTGTTATTCTACATCTGGTACACCCAAACTACTAGAAAACTTGATTGTGGAAGACAAAACCATCACATTTGCAGAATGTCTCACTCAATTCTTCTTTCTGTGTTCCCTTGTGGTGACAGAAATGTTCATGTTGGCTGCGATGGCCTATGACCGATTTGTGGCTGTTTGTAAACCTCTACAGTACACGACTGTTATGTCCCATAGGCTTTGTGCCACGTTGGTGGGTGCATCATACTCTTGGGGTATAGTTTATTCTGCCACTCTTAGCTACTTTCTACTGGATTCATCATACAGAGGAAAGAATGTCATTAACAACTTTGTTTGTGAACACGCTGCCATTGCCTCTGTCTCTTATTCTGACCCTTACATTAGTCAGCTGCTCCTCAATATTATAGCTACCTTCAATGAAGTCAGCACCCTCATCGTCATTCTTTCTTCCTATACTTTCATTTTTATCACAGTTATGAAGATGTCTTCTTCAGGGGGTGCTCAGAAAGCCTTCTCCACTTGTGCCTCCCATCTCACTGCCATTACCATCTTCCATGGGACCATCTTCTTTCTCTACTGTGTCCCTAACTCTGAAAGTTCATGGCTGATGGTTAAGGTGGGCTCTGTCTTTTACACTGTGGTTATTCCCATGCTCAACCCACTGATCTACAGTCTTAGAAACAAAGTTGTGAAAGAAACTGTTAGGAAATTATTTCATATCAAATTATACAGTGATAAAATGTAAAGAAATATATGTGAATACTTCTCTAGAAAGTATTGTGTATAGTTATTCTATATCGTGTCCATCTTGAATATTATAACTTTTTGGTTGACATCCTATCATCTGTCTAATGTCTGTAATGTAAATTAAAAATTTCTTAGCTTTGTTCAAATTTAATCATTCACATCTCAATGGTGATAAATTCTCTAATTTTATTCTATATGTTTCCCATTTTTCCAACTTTTTCTTCTAAAATATTTTATTTACTAAAAATAACATTATTCATATTAATAGTGATAAAGCTTCTAAGAATAGAATTAAGATCTTAATTAGTATTCACATTAACATTTCTTCTTTAGCTTCTATACCATGTGATATCCTTCCAAATTTCTATATAAGAATTTGAAATACATTTATGTGTATCTCATATAGAATATGAATAGTTCTTATGATGAAGAAATTTACTCATTAATCTAAAAGTAGACTGTATATATAAAGTTGAACATAATATCCTAAATATAATTTGATACATCTACATTAAATTTTAAAAAGCCCCCCCAAAAAAATTTTAAAAAGCCATCCTGCATAATTTACTTTGAATGACTCAAAGACATGGTACATGCAGTGTCAATAACCACACAGAGAAAATCGACCTAATTCTCTTATAAATATCAGAATCTGACTAGAAAATTTATGATAATTAGCTTAGTTCAATATCAATATTTTCACTGTATATGCTAAGACATGACAGGAACGATAGCACAGCAGGTAGGGCGTTTGCCTTGCATGTGGCTGACCCAGTTCAATTCCTTCGCCCGTCTCAGAGAGTCTGTCAAGCTACTGAGAGTATCTCGCCCGCAAGGCAAAGCCTGGCAAGCTACCTGTGATGTATTCAATATGCCAAAAAAACAGTAACAACAAGTCTCACAATTTGTTGTGAGCCGTTACTGGTACCTGCTTGAGCAAATTGAAGAACAATGGGAGGACAGTGCTACAGTGCTCTGTTAAGACATATAATAACTCATTATTAGCATGCATTTTCTTTTCTTAAAACTGAGTTGTACTTATCATTTGTCAACAAGTTATACTATTCACTAGAAAAATCCATTATAGTTTTAATAAATTAAAATGAATAAAATAAATTTCATATGGGTTTCCAGTACCTTTTGTCATGCTCTTCTCTGTATGTAATTTTAACAATTAGTATGTTGACAAATTTATAAGCACAGGTATTATTTGACAACAACTATATCTCCAATTATATGCATAATAATATCATTTGATCAATGTTCATTTTTTATTTTTTCTTCTGACACCAACTTGTAACTTCAGATTCAATATTATGCGATATCAATTAGTCTTTTTCTTAAAGTTCATTGGCATACCACCTCCCTTGGGTATTTCCAAATTCCTAAACATATTTTATATCATTTTTATCATTTGCAGATCTTATATGCTAGTATTTTGTGAGTCAAATTACATCATGTGGTTAAACCTGGATTCTAAGTGTGACAGTTTTCTTTCTCTTACAGAATACTAAAGTTTGAAATCAGCTGTTTGTGGTGTGTATAAAAGTGAGGAATTTATCTCAAGGTCTCCCAAAAATTGATTATAATAGTTTCATCTTGGACTTTTAAGTCTATTTTTAGTAGGTAAATAATTTTATAGAAATCCATGACAATGATTTGTTTTTATCGAATTTTCAGTAATTGTTAAGCTTACAGTAAGCAGCTGTTTGCTTGACTTGATTCCATTTACATAGTCTAATGCATGCTATCCATGAACTCTTGTTCTAAATCAGCCTTGTAAATGCTCTGTGTTTTTCTTCACTATTTCAATATTTTCTCCATTATGAAATTAGAAAAGTGAGTTCTAAAATTTTTACACCAAATAATATACTGTATATAATTTACTATTTTGGAATATATGATAAATTGGCAAGTCTAATAGTTGTACATAAATGAAATAAAAGATTAATTTTTTAAAATAAATTTTCAAACAACAATGAGTTGAATGTCCATGTTGGTTACTTAAATATCTTTTTTTGGTTCTTAATGTACTTTAAAACACTAACATAATTTAATTTTTTTAAAGACATATCACAGAATAATTGACATTTTTTATGGGAGAGTCTCCAGTTGCGGTCACAAGACTCGTGGGACACACCCAGTAATTTTTGCCAACTTGAGTGCGTGGTTCAATCCTAGGGCCAAAGGGTGCTTCACTTCAAGTTAGGACCTACAGTGCCAGGAACCATACAGGGTGGTTCTTTACCTTCAAGAAGGTAAGCTGACTTTACTTTGGGGTTTCTAATGCCATATGCAAATGCTTGGGAGCATTTGATGCCAGGATTGAACTGAGATGGGTTTTCATGAAAGGCATGCACATCTTTTTTTTTTTGCTTTTTGGGTCACACCCGGGGATGCACAGGGGTTACTCCTGGCTCTACACTCAGGAATTACCCCCAGGGGACCATATGGTATGCTGGGAATAGAACCTGGGTCTACCGCGTGCAAGATAAAAACCCTTCCAGCTGTACTATTGCTCCAGCCCCAGCATACACTTCTGTACTACCTCCCAGATCAACCTCTCTCTCTATCTCTCTCTCCCAATCTCTCTCTCACTCTCTCTCTCTATATATATATGCTTATATATTTTATAGCAATAGGTAATCCATGACTATTATTTGTTATTGATTTTTCAATAATTGTTAGGCTTACAATAAGCATCTATTTGCTATGATAAAGAATAATGAAAGATAAATGCAGGAATCTTTCTAATCCTATTTTATATATATTTGGAGATTGAAACTAGGTTGACTGCCACATGCTAGCCAAGAGCCCTACTACTTGTACTATCACTTAAAATATATTTTAAGCATAGATTTTTAATTTAAGAGCTAGGTCTTCTCTCATTTAATTTGTTTTTAAGAAAATTTCAAGTGCATGAGTTATGGTGTTAAAAATATTTCCTAACTTTGGTAAAATTTCTTTGTGGAGTATAGGCAACATCAGATAATTTTATATAGTGTTATGTATAGATAAATCTATTTTAACCTAAAGTGCAATGAGAAGAAAATAATATTATTATACCATTATTAATAATTACATTTTAGTACTAATAATGATTTAAGGGTTTGTGTACTTAGAAAAATCAATTCCGAAATTGGTAGGTTTAAAACTCTGGAAATATAAAAAGAAATGGTTCAATAATTGTGGGATATATTAATATATCATTTCAAATGGCTCATGTATTTTAAGAATTTTTTGTGAAGCCATTCATTATCAAAAAATATTCATCAATACTCATTATTTAATCAGAAATATAATTAATGCTCTTAAATCTTATTGTTTCATTTCCATTATTTTATACCACGTACATCATACGTGCATGTATATGTGATACTCATGTATCATAAAAATAAATAACTTCTTAACATTTAGATATTTGTTTGGTCTTTCTTTGCTTTTAGAAAGGTTGACAGTCAGTGAAGGAACATGACTTACATGGTGACCTGGGAACCCTGCAGGATATTCTTAGCTTCCTGAAGGTGATTCCATAAACGGATTAGTACTCTTGTTAAACAAACATAGATAAATCATCAGAAAAATTTAAAAATGGATCTTTTGTTCTGTGTTCATTGAGGATTTTGTTATTTTACTACTTTTTCAGTAACAGTTCTCCAAAACCTATTGGACATATTGCTTTTAGAAAAGTTTATATTCGGTGGAGGAAAGTATCCTACAGGGTATTCAGGAGTCCTGGGAATCCTGCAGGCAATTCTTACCTTGTTGAAGGCAATTCCATAAAAGGATTGGTACTATTGTTTAACAAAAATAGATAAATAATCAGAAAAATTTGAAAAGTGGATCTTTTGTTCAATGTTCATCAGATATTTTTGTATTTTGTTCCTTTTTTTCAGTAGCATCTCCCCAAAAAGCTATTGGTCACTTACATTTTGATATATACATCATGGTTCAAATTTCTTGACATTTCAAGATACTGTCACAATAAAGCAAGTATTTCTAGGAAACTAAACTTTGCTAGAGTTAAAAAAAAAGCTGTGAATGAAACCCCTAGTCATCTTTATCCTTTGGATTACTGCTTGGGAGCTCCCCACTCCAAGAAACATCAAAAAGGAAAGTAGTACTCAAAAATATTAATTCCAAAAACCCTATGAAAATTGATATTCAAAGTGAACAGATATGTCTGCGAGTAAGACTGATGGATTACCTACAGGCATATGAAAAGTGCTCATCATCACTTATTATTAGCAAAATCCACTCAAAACAATGAGATATCATCTCGCAGCATTGAAAATGGCACATCTCAAAAATAGTGTGAAAATACAGGTTGACGGGATGTGGTAAAAATGAACACTTACTTTCTGTTGCTGGGAATGCTGCCTGTTTCGATTCCTATGAAAAACAGTGTGGAGATTTCTCACTGAACTAAGAATTGAGCTGCCATACATATTGCCAAGAAATTTCACTTTTAGGCATCTTCCCCAGGAAGCAAAAATATCCATTCAAAAGCACATATGCACATCATTATTCATTGCAGAACTTAGTAGAATAGCTAAAATATGGAATGAACATACCACGTCCAATGGTAGATGAATAACTTATGAATACATAATATATACACATACATATTATACAGATTTAAGGAATAATGAAATTATACATTTCATTTCTGTGTTTCATTTTCTGTGAATGAAACTGTAAAATAGCATGTGAAGTGAAGGCAGCCACAAAAAGGAAAAACACTATGATGTCACTTCACCTATATATAGGAAAAACTGAATAAAAGAATGGAATTTATAACATGGGGAATGCCTAGATCATTCATGACCCTAGAGTATATAGGGAGGAGAACAGAAAAATGAAAAATTGACGGGGAAACAAGTAGACTGAAGTAACAAGGGGGCAGAATTCAGGGTTCTTGTTTACATTGATGGTGTTGAGAAGTGGTATAGCTATATATCTGAACCATAAAACCAGTAACACTGGGACAAGGGATTC